AACAGACCAATATTTCTTATGAATATTGATGCAAAATCCTCAACAAAATACCAGCAAGGTCTAATATGCACAATGGTAAAAGACTGAAAATTTTCCTCTAAGAACAGGAATAAGCAAGGATGCCTGCTTTCTGTTTAATATAGTATAGTACTGGAAGTTCTAGCCAAGAAAGAAAGAAAGATTAAAAAAAAAAAGGAAGAAAAGAAAGGAAGGAAGGAAGAAAGGAAGGAAAGAAGAAGGAAGGAAGGAAGGAAGGAAGGACATCCAAATTGGGAAGAAAGAAGTAAAATTATCTGTGTAGACAACATGATGTTATATGTAAAAGATCCTAAATATTCTACTAAAAAAAACTCTTATAACTAATAAACAAACTCAGCAAAGTTGCAGGATACAAAGTAAACACACATAAATCCATTGCATTTCTATAGAATAATAATAAATAATCCAAAAAGGAAATTAGGAAAATGATTCCATTTACAATAGCATCAAAAAGAATACAATACTTAGAAATAAACAAGGAGGCACTAGTTTTATACACTAAAAACTACAAAAAGAAAGAAATTAAAGAAGATATAAACAAATAGAAGGTAGCCTATGTTTATGGATTGGAAAACTTATTGCTAAGACATCAATACTACCCAAAGTGATATACAGATTCAATGCATTTCCTATCAAAATCCCAACAGCAGTTTTTGCCCAAATAGAAAAATCCAATCTCAAATTCGCATGGAATCCTGAGCAGCCATAAATTACTAAAAAAAAAAAAAAAAAAATCTCAAAAAATAAAGAACTAAGTTGGAGTTGTCCCACTTCCTGATTTCAAAACTTAACTGCAAAGCTATGATGGTAATCAAAACGGTGAGGTACTGGTATGAAGACAGCTGTATAGACCAATGGAACAGAATAGAAATCCCAGAAATAAACATTCGAATATATGGTCAAATAATTTTTGACAAGGGTCCCAAGACAATTTAATGGAGAAAGAACAGTCTTCAGAAATGGTGCTGGGAAAACTGGATATACACATGCAAAAGAATGATGTTGGACCCTTACCTCAAACCATATACAAAAATTAACTCAAAATGGATCAAAGACCTAAATAGTAAGAGCTAAAGTTATAACACTCATAGAAGAAGCCATAAGGGAAAATCTTCATGACATTGGATTTGGCAATGATTTCTTGGATATGATGACAAATGCACAGGCAACCAAAGGAAAACATTAGATAAATTGGACTTCATCAAAATTAAAAATTATATATATCAAAGGACATTGTCAATGGAGTGAAAAGGCATCTCGTGGAATAGAAGAAATTATTTGCAAATCATATATCTGATAAGGGGTTAATGTCTAAAATATATAAAGAACACCTATAACTCAACAATTAAATAAGCCCAACTAAAAAATGAACAAAAGAAGACAAACAAATGATCAAGAAGTACTTGAAACAATGATCAACATCACTACTAGGGAAATGAAAATCAAAACCACAATGAGATATTACCTCATACCTGTTAAAGTGGCTATTATAAAAAAAATTAAAAACAGCAAACAACAACAACAACAACAAAAATCCACCAAGAAAAAAAAAAAAAAACAAAGGAAGAAAATAAAAAGTGTTGTCAAGGATGTGGAGAAATTGGTATCCTTGTGCATTGCTGGTGGCAATGTAACATAGTATAGCCACTGTGGAAAATGGTATGGCAGTTCCTCAAAAAATTAAACATAGAATTGCCATATGATCTAGCCATTCTATTTCTGCATACATACTCCCAAAAATTGAAAGCAGGAACTCCCACATATTTTTGTACACCTATGTTAATAGCAGCAGTATTCACAATAGCTAAGAGGTGAAAGCAACCCAAGTGCCCATCAATGGATGAATGAGTAAAAAAAATGTATATACATAGAATGGAATATTATTCATCCTTGAAAAGTAAGGATATTCTGACACATGCTACAATATGAATGAACCTTGAAGACATTATGCTAAGTGAAATAAATCAGACACAAAAAGACAAACGGTGTATGATTCCACTTATGTGAATTACCTAGAGTAATCAAATTCACAGAAATAGAAAATGATACTGTGGCTTCTAAGGGCTGAGGAGAAGGTAGGATGAAGAATTAATATTGTATAATGATTACAATGATTACTGAGTGCTTAGGTTAACACCTCTTCCTCTCACTGTGGCTGATAGAGTCTGTCTTGATAGCTGTATACAAAGATTTTAATTTATATGACACCAAAGCATCTTTGACTTTCTAATGCTGCTCAAAATCATAAATATAATGTCTATGTCACATACATACCCACACTAATTGTATTTTTATAATCTTATTGTCAATGTAACTAAATATTTTCTTTCAATTTGAGGGGTGGTACTTCACATATATTAATAAGAAATGTTTTGGTATATGGATAGCAAAGACCGTAAATTACTGTTTGACTGAATTAATTTACATACTATGTATAACCAGCATTGGTCTAACTTACACTTTTCTCTCTCTCAATCTAAATGTGTCAGATATATTTAAGGCACATATTGGTTTCCCTACCTGAAGTAAGGAAGCTCCTTCATTCTACCTGTTCAAATTCCACCCATTTTTTAGGGTCCAGATAAAGGCAAAGCATTTCCTGACTGCCCCAGTCCATATTCATCTTCCTAATCTCTAGTATCTATGTCATCATTTAGTGCTTAGTAATACACCGCCTTGTATTATTTGCTATCATTTTATGTTTTTATGACCAACTAAAATGGACTAAAAATTGACAATTATCCCAGCCTGAAAGGATAGCCCAAAATAGCGATACGAGATAAATTCACTAAAAACAAATTACAAACTTGTTTATTCTCTGTAAAATCTAGTGCAGCCCAATATGAACATGAGTTCAAAACTATTATTGATTTGGACTCTTCAATGAGTCAACTCTAAAATCTAGTTTATGGAAGATTAGAGGAATTACTTCCTTCTCTCCCATCCCTCAACACACACACACACACACACACACACACACACACACACACACACAAAATTCACACACTAGCATACACACTCAACCAGGAATAACTTGCACGCGAGTAATAACTGTATGGAAAGAAACTGAAACTCTCTGGGAACTAAAACAACAACATTTTTTGAGCACACACTATGTGCAAAGCACTTTGTTAAGCCCCGTGAATAAGGAATTCATATGTCTACAGTCATAGTTAAACTAAATTCAGAGTCTATTACATTGGTGGCTAGGGCATGCCTCTCGGCATTAAACTGCTGGGTTAATCGGGGAATTTTCCTTTTGGATCAGACATAAAACAAGGCTGAGAGAAAATAAGGGAGAAGGTGGAGGGCAGTTGTTTTCTCCCTGCAAAGAGAAAACATGTTTTGCAACAAAACCATAGAAAATTGAGTTCACTCTTTGTAGTTAAAACTGAAACTACGTATTAGTTTGAGTTCAAATTCTTTCTATTAATATATAAGATTTATTGAAATTATATTGTTTGAGTAGGATCAAGAATGCTGAATATTATTTCAGGTTTTGAAGCCACAAGGAAAAATATTGCCTTTAAGTTTTCCATTCAACTAGGAAAATTATAGCTTCATATTTGCAACACTAAAGCTAATGCAGTGTCAGCATTTCCATCCAACTCCGTTGTTCAGCAGTTTGTAATTCAAGCAGAAATGTTCACTCCAAGCCCACATTTAGCCTACACAATCTCAAAGAAAATGGAGAAAAAAATTTTCTGGCTAGTGCTGACTTATAAAAGCAAAAGAGAGAGCGCTTTTACAAAGTGCTTTGAAAAACATCTTTGAGAATTTGAGAACGTAACTGGGGATTACTGAGTTGACATCCTTCATTACTACTGTTGTAGAAATGACCCAAAATTCCATGACATCACATCAGCATCAGCACTATCCTAACTGCTTTCAAGAAATTCTTCACAACTAATTTCCATATCAGACACAATAACCTTTCATAGACAAAAACAATTTTAGTAGAAATAAAGACAAATAGGTAAAAATTTCTCATGTGAACGACACAAAACTTTATATTCATGTTTTCCTTTGTGTACTAACTCTCTAATGCACCACATACACGCATATAAAATTTAAAAAAAATATTTTTTTCTAGTTTTTAAAGTAGTCACAATGGCAGGGTGGAATTTCCAGAAACAATCTTTTTCTTCCCAAATGCTAATTCGGACTTAGAAACAGCTTAGTGTAGAAGTGGATTTCCAGCTGCAGGTGACAAGAGCTATTGGGCTCCCCACTTTCTAAGGTGGTGGGGAGCCAGTCAGTTCTGGAATCATGCACTTTGAAGTCATGTGGCAGGCAGGTTATAGATTGCCTGGTGCCTTTGTGACACCCTATGGATAAGTCTGACAACCAACCCCTCACTGTTGTGGTCTCCTACACATTCAAAATATGTCAAAACATTAATATAGTGGGACCAGGGCATTACATAAGAAAGTCATCCTTTCCTATCTGTAGAAGGCTCCCTTGCATTAAACACCTTGTATCTCAAGCACTCTGTGTCTATTTTCACTCAGCATTTATTAAAGCCCAATATTGGGCCAGGCCACATATGATTTGATAAGATTTCTGTCCTTTAGGAGGAAGTGAACAGTTCATAAAGACAACTCCAGTATAGCTGTGCAGTGCCATCTGAGAAACTTCACTGAAAAGCGTCTTGCGGTGTCAGAGCGACACCTCCTCTCTTCCCTGTCACGCACCTGTCCCCGCCCTTTGAAATCACACTGCATCACCTGGCACGCGCGTTCCCTTCCTCCTCCCGCTTAATGTTCGCTGGTTTGTTTATCCAACACTCCCAGCCTCTGGACCCCTAAGTCGTTTCGTGAGGGAGCCCTCAGGAGAGGGTGGGGACAGTACTAAATACCACCGCGTTGTCAGAGTTTCAGAGGGAGGGCAGCAATGGCGCCTGGTTCGAGGGGGTCTGGCGTTACTGTGGGCAGAGAGGACTCGAAGGCCTCAAATCTCACCTCATTGAAGTGTGCAGCTATGAGCGAGGGCTCCCATGTCTTAGCACTGGTGTTCACGGTCTCGCCTTTTTCTTTCTTGGGTGCCATGCAAAGGACGGGAGGCGCATTGGCCTCTAAGCTGGGCGCTGGCCGTGCCCAAGCGTCCCTGCTGCCATAGTAACGGAAGCCACGCCCAATTTCTACAGTAATTCGGCTCCCCTCCGCCCCAACCTAGTCGGAATCCCGGCGCCAACCGCTTCCGTCGCCATAGCAACGGAGTTTCCGAGCGCGCGGCGGCTTGGGGGCGGGGCTCCCTGTACGTGCGCCTGGGTCAAATTTTAGGATTTTCCAGCCGGAAAGCTGTACAAGTGGAGGAGGACAGGCCGTGGCTGACCTCCAGCTGGCCAGGCTACCTTCTTTTACTCACTTCAACTTTCTGCTTCTTCTGGGAGCCCTCTCTGATCTGAGGCATTGTCTAGAAACTCAAAATCCCTGGAATCCTATCTAGGACTCCTCCATCAAGATTTCTTCCGATCCTGAGGAACATTGAAGGGACCCCTGACCCCCTCAAGAGGCAGCCCATGCTGATTTTTTTCAACCGCTCTATTCTGCCAAAATGCTTCCGTATATGAAGCCAATTTGTCTCCTGCTGACTTCTACCCTCTGCTCTGGTCTTAGTTCTGCCTCCTGGGCCTTACTAAACAAAGCCAATCGTTATTCTATGTGATCCCTTATCTAATTGTAGATGGAATTAATGTTTTTTCCATCTTGTCTTCTCTGCCTAAACAGTTCCAGTTCCTTTAAACTGTATTCTGTTGTCAAGAAGAACCTTTCTTTTTCCCCTTTTTCCCAGCCTGTTACTCATCAATATCTATTTGAACAAATTCCCCAAAATAATGATGGTAACAACTATTGTTTCTTGAGCACTGCTTATATATACTGTACATAATTATTTCATTTAATTCTCACAACAACCTTATCTCAAGTCCTACAGTTTTTGATAATGGTGCCAGGATTAAAATCTAGGATGTTCTGAGCCCCAGATCCAGTATGCTTAGCCTCTACACTACTACTGTTTTAGGCCTGCCAAAATGAAGGATACCCCCCTTTTGTTTTTTCTTACAATGCGACAAATTTGAGAATACCCAGGAGCAGAGCCCAGCCAAAGGTGTTTTGCTGTCTCTTTAGTCTGTATAAAATGCAGTGCTGACCAGTGCTTAACTATCCCTGCAGGCCCTGCACTTGGCCTAGAGGTGAGATGCTTCAGTTATCCCTGTGGGCCAGGATGACAGGTAATGCAAGTGACTAACAGCTTAACTTCATTCAGCACAACCTGACAGGTGGGTGACATTGTACAGGGGGAAGACAATCTGACCCTTTTAATTTCTTACTTTGAGGAAGAAATGAGGGGAATGCAGTTAGTGATATCAATTTACTAGTATCTTACTTCATTTGGGGGGCAGTTTTAATAATGATGCTTCTTTTCAACTCTTGTTCATAATTTGGACCAATAAAGGGACTTTTTCTTTATACCCAAATTCTTTAATACAGATACAGTCAGCCATCTCATATCCATAGTTCTCCATCCCTAGATTCAGCTAACAGCAGATTGAAAACATAAACAAAACAAAACAAAAACTCACACAATAAAAAATAATACAAATAAAAACCAATACAGTATAACAACTGTTATATAGCATTTACATTGTATTAGGCATTATAAGTAATCTAGAGATGATAGTATAGGAGATGATGTGCATAGATTGTATGTAAATACTATGTCATTTTATTAAAAGACTTGAACATCCAGGGATTTTGGCTTGGTAGGAGGATCTTGGAACCAGTCCCCTGTGGATACCAAGGGATTACTGTAGTAAAGAAAAACATAATTTCTAGAAACAGTCTTTCACAGAAAATTTACCCAAAAATACAAGTTTTCCTTTCTTGCTGCAGTAAGTATAGTGTATATCTTCTTAGGAGGGAATAGATCCATGCAGTCTAGCCACAATTCACATCTGGAAGTCCTCTCTTCTTGTCATGAGAATAAAATGACTGATGCATGGTGATGCCAGAGGGATCTGCCAGAAAAGAATTTTCCTGAGAATCTCCATAACAACCACCTAGGCTACCACTGGTTAATTTTCATAGCATTTTCTTCAAAATTTTGTTCTTCACCAAAATTTTCTCAGCATTATGAGATAAAAATTGTCTTTGTATTGTGACTTGAAAATAAAGGTAAATCTCTTCCAAATACAAAAAAAAAAAATCTGAACAATCATTGATTACATCGTTCTGAGTTTTGATCATAATTCTTCCCATAGTTTTAAACTGTTTGGGGGAAAAAAATTCTGCCTTTTTGTTAGAAAGGTAGTAAAAGTTTTGTTGGCATTCCAATATGTTTTGTAAAAAAATTTAAGTAGATGTTTATGCAGGTCATGTTACATTACTAATTTTCTTTCTTCTTGAATATGAATGCACACTTCAAAACAAAACATGTTACCTGCAATCAGCTGAGCCAAATCACTGGCAGATGATTAATAAAATAGGTTGGAGATAAGAAAAAGAAACAAAAGATAAAAAATGGAATAAGGAGAAAAAAGTAACATTGTGTTATTTTTAAATTGCAAAGAAAGTGTCACTAGCTATTTCTTACAAGTGACAGTTGTCCAACCCCAATTTTGGCAGCAATAAAATGTTTGTGATATTTATTGCGGCAAAAACTGTCTAGCTGTTAACAGACATTTCCTTTTCCTTTCTTCTGCTATGACAATCAGACAACATTTTATCAGCCTTCCAAACATTGTTCATGCTCTTCCTCTTTCTGCTCAGATACTGTGGTGACACTGAAAATCTTGACTCTCTGAATGATTGCTGTGGCACAGTGGTCTCCCGCGCCCCTGAGCATAACTCTGTTTCCCCCACCAAAGGCATTTGCTTGGGACTATTAAGTAGATGAGAAATAAACTTTTATTTTTTTAAGCTGCTGAAATACTGGGGTTTGCTATAGCAAGTAGGGTTACCCTAACTAGTCTTACATTTTTGATAATTTTTATTTTAGAATCAGTTGTTAGTAAATCTAACAGTAGCCAGCTTTTCTGAAACTGCCCGAGAAAACAAACTTATACTTTCAAGTAGGCAGTACACAATGCTAGCTACTGTCAAAAGCATGAAGATCCTGCCCTTTGGGAGACTGCATCTAGTATTACCCACCAGATCTTGATCTCACGCTTTACCTTGCCTTCCATCTGCTTATACAGTACATTCTTTCACTTCTTTATCCAGTAAATACAATTTTTACTTTAAACAAGTGGTTTGCTTATTAAAGTAATACAGCAAACTAGTCTTCTTATGTCACATACACTTAAGAAAATTTTTGCCTGTTTTTCAAAGACAAACCAACAAGATCTATTACCTATCTATCTATCTATCTATCTATATAAATTAAACATTTTCAAATGATTTAAAGGAATTCAACATTTTAAAAGCCAAAATAAAGATTCCAGAATGGAAGAATGCATTTATCATATAATCTTTTATAATTTTCTTTGTAAAGTCTTACCAAAATAAATTTATACATAGAAGGTTTTCCAAAATTGATTTAAGATAGTTAAAATAAAGGTTTTATTACAGAATACTTTTTGCCCAGTTTTGGCCTTTTTCATTATTCTAGGGTGAGTGGTACTCTAGATAATTTATGATACAAAATGGGAAGACATTATATAGTAACCAAATTTATAGGGGGTTTCATTGTAGAATTGGTCTGTTTAATTTCAGAGAATAGGTGTGAATGATAATGTTCATAGTTTTAAGAAGTGAAAGGCATTCAGCTAAAAAGGGTCTCTGCCAGGAGCAGAAAAAAAAAGCATTACCATCTGTCATACATTTATGCTTTTTTGGTATAATAAATTGTTTCCCCCACTAAATATAAGTTGAAACTTTATAAGCATATACTTTACTACATAAATTTTCCCACATGGCAGTGGCTAAAACAAAACTATACTCTTTGGAGAGTTTTCTTTTACATTGGCAGGGTTACTCCTGGTTTGTTTGATTTAATTTTCCCAGTAAGATTTTGTTTAATATGTTTAGTTCACCAAGGACTGTGTATTTTTAGGGATACACTGTTTCTTTAGTCTATGATTACTGAATAAGTTATTTCTTTAGCTGTTACACTTTGATCTCATAATTCATTCTTACTCAGGTGTGAAGTCAGCCATATTATTTTTCATACCTGAAAAGATCTAGCTAGCTACTGATACGTCCAGTATTT